GTAGCGGAGGGGTGTCGCCCAGCCTTGTTTGCCGCAGCGTCGCCCGATGTTCCGAAGGAGCAGATTCAAGTAAGTCGACTCTGGAAGTCCTCTTCATCAGAAACTCAAGCTAATTGCCAACAGAACTCCTACATCGTTCCTGATAAGAAGGTCCAAGAAGCGTCCAAGCAGGCCAGGGATGAGAAGTTGCAGAGAAACTTGTGGAGGCTAACCAAGGAAGTCCTGGAGTCGAAGATTGATAGCTTGCCATACGAGATGAAAACTGAAGTTGTCAACACTGCGTAGACCGAGGGTAAATAGCGGTCCGATTCTGGATGGATAATGTCCGATTATGACTCAGGTGCTTGTTAGATACGCTCCACAGTTTATCACACTTGCGTCTAATGAACGATGCCGCATACTCAAGTTCCATGGAAGGGAGACGAACTAAACGCGACTCACGCGCCAGCTATGTGTATGACGCGTTACATAACCCGAAATTCAACCCCAAAGCAAGGTCATATCCCACTACAAAGCGTATGCAGCGTCTAGATCAAGACCTATAAGCTGCTATCACAGTCTTGATCGTCGCAACCCCAGCATGTAGTTTGAAGGGCGTGTTGTGGTGCCCCGCTAACGTCATAGTACCAAGTGGGGTTCCAAGAGGCTCTGGGCAACTTCAACTGTACAGTCATGATGCGGTATATAATCGCCAACATCGCTTTCAAAACCATCATTACAAATCTCAGTTGTCTCAAGTGTCTCAAACCCAAACACAATTTTATCTTTCCACAACACACCAAACACCATCATGTCCAAGCTTACCGACTTCAAGCTCCTCTCTTTCGATGTGTATGGCACCCTGATAGACTGGGAGGCGGGCGCTTTGACCGCCCTCCAGCCCCATCTTAAGAAGTCTGGTCAAGAGAACATGGATCGCAAGCACATTATGCAAGTCATGCACAAGATCGAGGCCAGGGTTGAGAGCGAACACGGCCACCTCAAGTACTCAGAGGTACTCGCCATGGTGCTTCCTGAGTTGTGTGAGAAACTTGGTTTGGAGAAGCCCAGTGAAGAAGAGAACAAAGCATTTGGAGCGAGTATCGGACACTGGCCTGGATTCGCTGATATACCATCTGCTTTGGAGAGGTTGTCCAAGTACTTCAAGCTTGTCGTTCTTTCCAACGTCGACCATGATTCATTCAAGATCGGAAATGCGAACGGGCTCAAGGGATACAAGTTCGACGCCGTCTACACCGCCCAAGACATCGGATCTTACAAGCCCGACCTGAGGAATTTCGAATACATGCTGGCCAAAGTGAAGGAGCAATTCGGAGTCGAGAAGCACGAGGTGCTGCAAACGGCGCAATCTCAATATCACGACCACCACCCAGCAAAGGACATGGGAATCAAGAGTTCATGGATTTACAGGCCGGGCGCGGTCATGGGAAACCGCGATGATCCTGTATATAACTGGAAGTTCGACACGTTGGCCGACATGGCGGATGCCGTGGAAAAGGAGGCCGCAGAGCAGGGAAAGTAGGCAGAGATGGGAGATTGTGTGGTTGTGTGCATTGACACTGGAGGTGGGGGACGCTAGAAGTACTCCAACTTTTGTTCTGGATTCAACAAGGAAGATATCAATGCAAAGCGCAGCCTTGGCGCTTGTTGCTTTTCGGACCCAGATAATTTGCCGCGCGAGGCCTCCAACATTGTGATTAGTCTGCGTTAGCTTGCGGGGTGCAGATGCTTTCTCCTCCTCCGGACGCCACAATCCATTGCTTCGCTGTAAACCAAAAAGCTTTTTCCAATAGAACTGTGCTGATCATGCCAAAAGTAGACTTGGAGGATAGGGTCTCTGTGCGATCTTCCTGCGCGATGCAGTTCTGTTCTGCAGCTCTGTTCTGCAGCCGTGCCGTACTAATACAGGGACGTAATCATCATGGATGCCCAGCTGCGTCCGGTGAGCGGGCGATGAGAGAAAATTGCCTCCACGGACCTTTACTCAAGCGCCTTGGAGAGGGAAAGTAATCTTTATGGGGGTAAGCTTCGGAGGCAAGTGAAGATGCAAGTTCACAACATGGCTCCGGACACCCTTGCACAACCGATATCTTGACTCGGTAGTGCCCTATCGTGGCTCGGCAACGTCATTATTCGCCAGCCACGTGCCGTTCTCACCCTTCAACACCAACGTTGTACCCATCACGACCGCAAGCTAGCGCCAACACGAATAAGCGCATGCGAGATTATCCGTAGCAATAGTCACATCGCCTGCATCCCCGCAGTCTCTCCGCTATCCGTTGCCGATAGCGCCAGTCGGCACCCATGGCGGACCGACTCCCTGCACCGCCATCGGCAGAAGTACGGGAGCAAGAAAATACTATGAAAGCAACCCATTTCTCCCCGCGATGGTGGAAGAGAAGGCTAGCCATCATCATGATTTTCTCCGGTAGCACTGCTTTGTTATTCTGGTACTTTGGCGCTTTCAGCCAGGCCAGGCCATACCAGCCTGGTACACCCCAACGACCGGACCCTCCGAGTTATGAGACACCAGACGGTTCTCTTCTCGTCACCTTGCCGGAATATGGGTCTTTCCAAGGAACACAGCTTCTCATGAACCTGAAGAAGACGGAGACTTTGAGTCGGCCAGTGGATGCGTGGATGAATGTTGAGTACTCTTCGCAGCCTGTTGGTCACGGAAGGTTCATGCCAGTAACATGGCCCGAACCATTCGATGGCACAAAGGATGCGACTTCAATTGGACCGGCTTGCTTCCAGAACATGTACGGTTCCCTTGGGCAGTCGGAAGCTTGCCTCACCATCAACGTATACCGACCTTCGGGTATCGCTATGGACCAAAAACTCCCCTCCATGGTCTTCTTGCACGGTGGCTCGTTTGTCTCGGGCTCCCACCGCAGCTTCGACGGTCCACTATTCGTGGAGCAGAGCCCTGAGCCTGTTATGGTTGTCACCGTCCAGTACCGCCTGGGTGCGCTCGGCAGCTTACCAGCGAAGTTCATGCAAGAGGAAGGTCTTCTCAATCTGGGTATCCGCGATCAGAAGATGGCATTGGAGTTCTTGCAGAAGTACATCGGCGACTTTGGAGGCGACAAAGACCAAATCACGCTCGCTGGTCAAAGTGCTGGCGGCCACTCTGTTGGTATCCACCTTTTCCACAACTACGCAGAGGATGCCGGAAAGCCTTTGTTCAGCAAGGCTATCTTGTCTTCAGGTTCACCGACCGCTCGCGCATTCCCAGGTGTCGACTACCCTCTCTACCAAAAGCAAGTCGCAGACATCATGGACTACCTAAACTGCCCAGAGTCGCCCAGCTCAGCCGCTCTGGACTGTCTCCGCGCCGCAGAGGCCGATGACATTCAATTCATGTCTTCTTCTCTATACAACGCCCACAACTACAACATCACATGGCCATGGCAACCCGTCTCTCCTGGTCCCCTCCTTGAGAAGCGTGGTTCAACTTCCGGCGAAGACGGCACGTTCTTCAACATCCCAATGCTCATCTCATCTGTGACCGACGAAGGCACAGGCTTCGCGCCCCAAGACCTCCGTACCAACGCCGAGTTCCTCAACTTCTGGAAGACCCTCACTCCAGGCCTAACACCGGAAGATCTCGCCGATCTCGAGACCTTGTACCCAGACATCAAGCCCCAGCAGGGTACCTTGGGCTACGTCTCAGACCAATTCGCCCGCGTATCCGCAGCTTACGGCGACTACTCCTACATCTGCCCTGTTCAAGACACCGCGTCCGTCATGGCCTCCACCTCCGCTCCCGTGTACAAAGCGCGCTTCAACACACCAAACTGGGCGCCGACATACCTGGGTGTCCCGCACGCCAGTGACTCCTCGTACTTCAACGGACAGGCGAACACACAGTACCCTGAGATTGCCGACATGTACAGTGCCTACTGGGCCAGCTTCGTTGTCAGTGGCGACCCGAACACATACAGTTTGGGATACAGTCCCAAGTGGGAGCAGTATGAGGGCACTGGCGGTAGACAGCTTGTGATTAACCCTCCAACTGAGGGTGGCTCGATGATGGAGGATGAAGGCACGGCTATTAGGATGGAGCAATGTGCTTGGTGGAGGGATCCGGAGAGGGCTAAGAGGCTTAACAAGTAGGGGTTGGTCTCTTTCCATCTTTGATGATGTATATATATGATGATAATAAACGTTTGATCTGCAAATCATCATTGATACATGCTTGATGACTATGCGTTTTTATGATGGTGATGATTGAGGAAAGGTTTTGCGCACCTAAAAATTATGTAATCCCAGACTGTATCTACAAAGAAGCATCTCCTCTACAGGCAATTGTACTACTCGGATAGATAACAGTACCAGATCCATGTTAAAACGACTGGTCAGGTCGTACAAGGAAGTCGCGTGGGAGGGGCTGAGGGTGCAGGCATCTACGACCCCGCACATGTGTCCCCGGGTCCTACGCACTTCTCTTATCCTTTTACTGTGCCGCACACCTACATGTACCGCCACGTCACCATCCACCTGTAACACATCAGCTAAGTCGTTCATCTACGTTCCTGGCGAAGTTGTGCCCATGATTCTCAAGCTCGCACCCACTTCACGGCGAGCCCGGAGCACAACAAAAGACCCTCGAACGCCCTATATCGATACCCCCTTTCAGGACTCAATCCGCGCTCGCGACGACCGTTGTCAGGATGATTTGCGATGTTTGCAAGCGATGTCTGGAGGGGATGCACGACCCCACTGTCACGCCGCGCCTTCGAGTCTTACCAGTAGAAGATGACAGCTCTCGGGGCACCCAGTTCAGAGAACGCTGCACCCTGTTCGACATCGAAAATTATGAGTTTGGGCATCACCGTACACGGGATTCATTGATACAGTCTATGGAACAGCAGTGCCTAGTCTGTGCTTACTTCAGATTCTCTGCTGTCTTCAGATACGATGGGCATCAAGTTACATCAGCCGACGATGGATATTTCACGACATTTAAAGTTTCGGTCGACAAAAAAGTGCTAAAAATGGATCTGATAAGCAGCGAAGGGTATTCTAGGATGTCAGCATGTCTTAAGCCCCTCGAAGTTGTGCAGAAACGCAACAAGTTAGCCCTCGAGCTGGACAACAACACCGGTGGCCAGTGCACTCGGAAGCTGATCAACGAATGGGATAAGAATTGTCTCGCGAACCATATATACTGCGGACAAGCCAGTGACTCTGCTTTCTTGCCTACGAGATTGCTTGAGATCAACGATGTTGGTAACCCCACTACATGTCGCCTGGTTTTACGAGAAGAGGTGCCTTGCGCCTCAAGATACACTGCGCTGTCGTATCGCTGGGGTGTCATGAAGACAAAAGGCGAGACCCGTCTTTTGGAGTCTACATTCGATACGATGCGCACTGGATTGCCACTCAGTTCCCTTCCAAAAACATATGTCGATGCCATTGATGTCACATCATGGCTAGGTATCCGATATATATGGATTGATGCAATCTGTATTATACAGGACCTGTTACACGATTGGCGAGCCGAAGCTTCTACAATGCAAGCTATCTACCGCAACTCCTACCTTGCCATTTCAGCTATTGCGGGGACTCACGACAATCCTGGTCTGTTCTACGCACGAGACCCTGTCAGAGTCCAGCCAACTATCGTCAATATCGCATACACATCGTGCGACAATCCCGTGCCTTTTGTACATCGTGATGAAAAAAGGAAGGAGGCAGAGTCTTTCCAGATGGGCAACGTCACGATGGAGCGTGGCTGGTGTCTTCAAGAACGTCTCTTATCACCCCGTGTCTTACACTTTGGGTCACATCAAGTCTTCTGGGAGTGTCGCGAACAACGCGCATCTGACAAAACCCCGGAGTCTTTGGATGTTGGTAAACAGAGTCATGTATTGGAAGGCGGACGAACAAGACTATGGAAACTGTTCATTGGTGACATACAATTTCGCCACGGCAGAGACCCTTATGAGGACCTTCTCAGGGAGTGGTATGATACACTGCGCATATACAGTACCTGCCAACTCACTTATGCGTCTGACAAGCTTGTGGCTATATCTGGTTTGGCAAATGACATGAGATCAGCGTTGAACACTCGCCGACCTGGTAAATACCATACATATCTTGCTGGCCTCTGGGACAAAGATATTCGCTTTGGGTTGTGCTGGCGAATGAGAGGATTTGGTAGGAGACCAGCTGTTTATCGGGCTCCTTCTTGGTCTCCAATGTCAGTTGATGGAGCGATAATTTACCCTAATTTGCCAAAGAGGGACAGATTGACATACTATATCAGCGATGCGGATTTCATGGCGATAACGCATTGTCTGAATGATTTAGATACGGGCGAAGTCACTGGCGGACAGCTCGAGCTGAGAGGTCCCTGGGTCACCATCGTCACAACAGGGAAAAAGGGCATTCTGGACAACAATAATTTCCTGGCCCACTTCCAATATCTTGATCCGAGTTCAGCGCTCGAAAAACCTCTCGTTATTGAGACTGATGACTCGGTCTATCACGACACCGAGATCATCTACGATACCCAGGACGACATGGTGAAACAAGCCTTCTGCATGCCTATATGTACATGGCGGAATGAGCTTCCTACCTGGCACTTTCGTGGCATCGTTCTAGTACCAGTAGAAGACGGAGGCTTTAATTACCGCCGCATCGGTCTGGTCGACGGTTTCTTCAAGACTGAAGAGGAAGCGCACACCTTCTTCTCGCAATTCCCGCGAAGAAGTGTTACAGTTACATGAGGTCTTCGTCTAGTACCGTAAATTATCTAGACACTATCAATTTGCAGCATATATGTATTTGTTCAATAGCTGTACAAAATATCAAGAACTCCTACAGAGATATGTTACCATTCTTCGCAAGAATGCCTAAAGGCGTAGAAATTAACGAATATCCCCAAGCCATATTTTAACACTGCGTACAGCTACCGTGATTGCAGCGTATACCTCGACGATAGGTTTTGGTCATGCACACAACGTGTAAAAAGGTAATATCTTCGCACAACAGGTTCTTTGATCTCATCTTAACAGGGTGGCGATGCCGTAGGCTAGTGGTACGCGACAGGATTGGGTGAGGGCCACAACAATGGAAGATGGGCCGCGCGAGGACCTCTGGGCAGGGCAACGAATAGGAGTACCATACTTGAAGCTTGCTAGCGAAGGGATGTTAGATGTCGTCTGAACTCGCCTTTCTTGTTAAACGTCTTTTGGGGCGAGTCGATGCCTTCGCTTCATTGGAAGGAGTGTATACATGTCGAGGAGGTGTTCATCCGCAAGGGTCTCAGCGGCCACCTATGCCTGTATCTTCGACTATGCTTGCGTGTTCAGAAGCTGCTTAGCACAGCGGAAGCGCGACAGGCGAGTAACGGATTGTACAATTCAGCCTTCTGTGCCTAGATCTCATCACAGAACGCATAACATCTAGGTAGCATCTAGATTTCTGCGCGCGAAATTAACGCAAAAAGAATGTCAATGGAGAGAAGATCGCATGTGTGAGATGGAGTGAATTGATAGCTACGCAGTGCAAAAAATGGCAAAAAAGAAAGAATCAATCTTAGCTGCTCTCGGTTTCGATCCGAGGTCCTCCGGGTTATGAGCCCGGCGCGCTTCCGCTGCGCCAAGCAGCTTTTGTGGTTGATTGGTTGATGGAAGAATTGCAGATTTGATGCAATATATCCGTAGGCAAATTACTGACGGGCTCACAATGCACTGCATCGTCACAATCAATTCTCAAAACTTTTGTGTGGGAGGTCAAGCTAGCTGTGGAACGTAGCGTGAAGATTCTGCTCTGACTCACAAAGAAGCGACTGGTTGTGGAGATCCCTTGCTAACACCCAACACCCCAACTAAACCCTACCTAGGTACCAACAAAACCACAAAGCCCAACCCACCGGACGCCGCGCTAACTACATAACCGAGCCTTACACCAAAGACCTTACACCAAAATACACTCATAATCGTGACCTAACTATAATCATACACACAACCCCCTCACCTCGAAAACGCGCCCTCAGCATCATCCCCCAGCCCCCTAAACGCAATCCGCCCATTACTCCTCAGCACCTCACAAACCGTCTCCGCACTCAACTCATACCCACTCTTCCGCCATCTCGCATTAAGCCAATCCGCCAACGCATCCGCACTACAGCTAAAGCGCCTCGTATCCCACTCATGCAATATCAAATCGACAATAGGCTGATCAGGCAACGGCTCCGGGTGCGGATCCTGGAGCGGCACCGAACTCAACGGCATGGGGAGCGCGCGGGGCGGAAAGATGTTTTCGTAGGCGGTCAGGAAGTGGAGGAGGGTGTGTTCGGTGTGTGGGCGTGAGGCGAGGGTTATGCCGAAGGGTTGGCCGTTTAGTTTGAGCGCGGATAAGGGACAGGCGGCGGTGGGGTAGCCGGCTGCGGCTGCGAGGGCGGAAAGGGGGGCGTCGCCGGGGGCGACGATGAGGTCGAGGGAGAGGGTTGTGAAGAGGTAGTCGAGGCCTTCGGGGCCGCCGGCGGTTTGGAGGTGTTGGCGTGCGGCGTTTACTTCTTCGCGTTTGGTTGTGGATTGGAGGGCGGCCATTAGGTCGTTTTGGTCGGGGCAGGCTGGGGGTTGTTAGTAAGAGGGGGGAGCTTTGTGGGTTAGAGGGACGTACTGGGTGGGAGGCAGAGTTCGGGGTGGTCGAGGTTGAAGTTGATAATTTCGGCCAGCGAGTGCATCTTTGTGACTTTGAAGTCGCGGATGAACTCTGCTAGACAATCTTTGAACTCGGAGTCTGCGTGATATCAGTATCAGTATACACCCAGCGCTATAGAGGAATATACTAACAAACAACAGGCTCAAAGCAGTTCTTGCCATCAATCGTCAAACTCGATTGGTTCGGCAACTCCACCGGATACACGACATCAACACCCATCTCGATCATGCTCTGAACAATCATATCGTATTTCTGCGTCTGCACCATGTCAGCACTGCATGGTCCAACACAACACCAACCCCTGCCACCAAAACGTGCGTTCTATACTTCCACACGCAGAGGGAGGTAAGCGCTAACTCACCATGAATCGCTCGGCGTCAGCATTGATCCGCCCGCTTTTACGCCACGCCTTCCAAATACTCGGCTCGCAGATACCGATGCGGAGCGTCCCGAAATCCGGCTTGATCTTGAACGATCTGTGTGGACTGCTTGCGTGTTCTTCGCGGTTGGTGGGAACCATCATGGCGTCCATTAGCGCTACGAGGTCTTTTGCTGATTTGGCCTATGGTGCCGTCAGTGCGTGGAGTACGAGCTGACGCATCCGCGTGTGCTTACCATGCCTCCGACGGCGTCGAATGTCTTGCTCAGGTTGAAGATGCCGTCCATTGGTATCTGCCCAGCTGTTGGTTTCAGAGCGTAGAGCGCGGCTCGGTTTGCGGGCGTGATTAACGATCCGATGGTGTCTGTTCCGATGGCCAGGGTGCTGAAACCTGAGGCTACTGCGACTGCAGATCCAGTTGATGATCCTCCCGGTGCGGAAAGCTCCCAGTGTAGCTTTCTTTTCGCGATGTGTCTTGAGACATACGGCGACTGACACTGTCCACCGACTGCTGACCATCCAGGAGGCATAGAAGGGTTCTTGAGACCGCAGAATTCAGTCAGGTTCGATTTTCCGATGATGATCATGCCGCGTTTGATCAGTCTTTCGACAATTGTTGCGCTTTTCTTGGGTATGCATCCTACGAAAGCGTACGATCCTGCACAGCAGTAAGTCACTGGCCTGGATCCAAGTTAACTATCCACCTACCAACTGTGGTATCCATGCCTAGCTTCTCATCGGTCATGATATTGTCTTTCAACACTATCGGGATACCATGTAATGGGCCTCTTATCTTGCCTCTTGCCCGCTCATCATCCAGCTTCCTAGCCATCTTGATCACTTCATGCTTTGGCGCGACCGAAATCAATGCACGTAACTGTCTTCCTCTTCTGTTGTGCTGTTCAATTTCCTTCAAATACAACCGCACAATCTGTACACTCGTGAGAGCTTGTGCATTCATGAGTTCAGAAAGCTCAAAGGCCGAAATCGTAAGCGGATCAAAGTCTGGCAGCCATGCATCGTCGGCCGAAGATGTGAAGGATGCTTTGCGCGACGCATTACTGTTGTCGACAGACTCCCGTGGTTGTGCGTTTCCGATGTTTGGCGCAAGGGCCGTTTTCAGATATCTGAACACCTTCGGCATGGCTGTGTTGGATTTGCGACAGTCGGCTGTGGCCAATGTGGGATGCGGACGCGTGGGGATGGAGATGCCGGGATGTGTGTCGATCCGGGGTGATGAAAGCGGAGCGTGAACGTCGTTTGCAGTGAGAGTACGTGCGATCGCAAGACTGAACAAGCAGATCGTCAATGTAGGGAGATGAGACAGCCAAAAGCGTCTGCAGGGGACGTGGGCTCCGCTAGATTATGAGTGCTTGCCATGGCTGTCTCCGAGGCTCTAGACATCGCCAGTGGCTGCGGGTATGATCACTCCTTCGAGGCCTGACCAAACTGGACGTTCGCCTTCTGACATCCCGGTCCATGGCGTCCATAGACTGTGTGGAGTAATAGGGTTGGTGGTTCCAGGGAAGCCAATCGAGGACAGGTATTTCCGGTAATTCGTACCTTTTGTTCTTCCTATTCGCAGATGGGAAAGCCCAGTAAGAACCACATGATGCGTGATCAGGTTGAAGTTGCACAACACTTTACCCGGAACGCAGGGCCGCACGGAGCTGTTGGCGGTTGACGTCTCGCTTACGGTCAGATGGTGGCTGCTCACCCTGCTCCCATCCAGCCGGCTGGATATTGGCACTCTTGGGTTCTGCGGAGTCGTGGTCTATTCGGTGTTTTTACCTCAATAGTGTACCTGCTGCCTGGTGTCGGATGAGCTGGCCGATCTTTACTACAACCATCACACATGACTCTACGGATTAATTCCAGTCTCTGCATCAATACCACCGAGGTTCATTGTTCATCATGAAGGATGTCCCTTCGTGATCTTCACCAAGGTCTCTCCCAGCGAAACTTAGCCGTTGCTCGGGATCTCTGCGCCCTAGTGGCACAGCGATATACTTCGTCGTGAGACGATAAGAAAGCTTGCACTTGAACTTGAGCAACCATGGCGTCCTTCGTGTATACCGGACTGGGTAATGTTTGGGGAACCCGAACCCCTGTCTCGCTTCCAGACATAAGTTTGCAGTGTTATGCGGGGTATCGACTCCTACAGCTCTGGTGGCCTGATACGAGTCAAACATGGTTGCTGCAGTTGCAACACGTGGAATATCAAAGCGCTACGACGAATCGCTCTTCGATCGAGGCTGATAGCGCGGCCAGGCCCGCAGGACGCACGCGGAAGCAGCTGTCACTGTCACAACGAAGGACCGATCACGACGGCTGGCGCCGTGGCACAGTTCTCGAAGAGTGTTCAGGCGGCGCGGCTAGTCAAGCCTAGAATAGCGTCTGCGCGAAAGCCTGCCGCCGTGCGTCCAGATAGTCAAGACGCAATATGCAGCCCCATACTTTGCAATATGCGACGCCACGCTGTATAAATTACTACCCAGGTCAACTGATGCTACATCGAAGCCGCGATTGCCACTGGGTTAGCACAGGTGTGCAGCTGCCACCTTCAACTTCCCGCTTCCGCCAATCTGGACTGTGGGATATCTCACTGCCGCAGTAGCATGTCAGAAGCCGAGGCAGGTCCCGGTGTACTGCATGCTGGGAATTAATCAAAAAGTGAATGTAGTGCCATCCTGATGCGTCTTTAGCGGATTGCGGAGGAAGATGTCTAGTCATTGTACCGGTTCGGGTTGCTCGGGGCTGACACGCAGAAAGATCGACTGCATTCCTGGCCAAGAACAGAATGTAGAAGGCATCAAAGATGGGGATGCAAAAGGTCTCGTGGTGGAGATTGGAAAAATGATCGTTTTACTACCGCTAATTCGACGCCAGCTTAAAGCATCTTCTGCGGAGAATGCGACCTCTGCTGTCGAGTCGCAGACGCGATAGTGAATACCGTTTGAGACTGACAAATAATTAGAGGCAGGGACGTATAGACTGCCATACAAGGATCAAGTAATGCTTGCACAGTACCCTCCGACTACCACAAACGAGCATGTCCCTAGAACGTCGTCGTAGCCAGTCTGCTCGCCGCATTCTTCGCATCAATGCGATCATCGTCCTCTTCAATCCCCTTCTGGCTGCCTGCCTTGCTAGTCGCACGTTTCCTCCCATTCACAGACTCTTCCTCATTCTCATCGGCCTCGGGTAGAGGCGCCACGATACTGCCGCTCATGCTACGATTGAGGCCGTCACCTGGGCGCCGCGGTACGCCGGACCATGCATCGCCCTTGGGTCCTTGTGAACTGGCCATGGGAGTACGGCGCTGAGTGGGATGTGCTTCGCGACCCAGCCGGGAGAGGCCACCACTACCGTCGATAGCGCGGATGTCTGGTCGTACCGATTCTAGTGTCGCAAGTGTACGGCGCTCTGCTTCGATTTCTCGCACGACGTATTCGCGGATCGCTTGCCTCATGTCTTGTGTGGTCCTATTGAACCATTTGCGTTGCTCCTGTAGGAGGTTGGCTGTGACGCGCTGGGCTTTGGTCGTGAGGTATTGTTCGTGGCTTCTCGCTTCGTCTAGGGCTGCGATAGCTTCGTCGACCTTGTCCCGCTTAACGCTCGAGCTGGCCTTGAGCCTATCGGCTGCGGACAGCTTGGACTTTGTCGCGGATTGTGCTTGTAGGAGCTCGCGGAGGAGGATATGTCGGTTTGTGAGGGTTTCTTTCGCAATAAAGGCGTCGCTGCTGTGGTATTGGAGAGGGTCACCGAGAGTTGTAGCTTCGGCAGTACCCTGCGCTGCGTGGAAGTCGCCCGTGGCCTGGATGACCTTCCCGAGCTTCTTGTATGCGTGTGAAAGGCCGACGTGTGTTTCTTGGACATGTAGCGCTGCGAACTTGGCACCGAGGTCAGACTCTGCGACGCCCAGATCTATATTTTGTTAGCCATGTACTAGGACGTGTGCCTGGAAAGAGCCTACTTCTCCTGTGCTTCACGACCTTTTCTAACTTCTGCTCCGCCTCCATTGTGCCCAGGTAGAATGCCTTGACGACTGGTCGTGCCGCAGCAAGTTCCGGCGTGTCGTCTGGCGGCGGCGCAAACTGCTTGATCATCTTGCGGCGCACGCCAGTCGCAGGTTGCTTCCTCCGCACCACAGGGCTGTAGCCAAAGTCGCTCTCCACGAAGAAGACCATCTCTTCGTCGCGTATCAGGATGTCATTGCTGCATACAATGTTCAGCCACCGTTGTAGCGAAGTCTTCAGGCGTGCCTCGTCTTCGTCGGTGCCTGCGCCTGCCGAAGTAGTCGCTGGCGGTACTGCAGGCACAATAGCTTCGGGGCATGCTGAGATGAGATGCTCGCCCAGCTTTACAAACTCGGAGTGCAGGCGTCGGACATCGCGGAATTGGGTGGTGCGGAACTTGGGGAGGTTCGTCTGGAGACAGGTCAGTAGGAGTTGGAAATGGGGGCTGGGCGTGCGCGGTATGGGCAGGATTGGTGCAGCTATGCAGTCCGACTGAGATGCCGGAGAAGCACATGTCTACCTTGCACCACGCCTCAATGTCCGCTATATCGCGCGCCTCTAGCCCAGTCGTGTCGATGTTGTGGAGACGTACGTAGACATCAAATCGCAGTATCGGGTCCTTCTTGCTATTCCGCTCGAGTCCCGTGACCTTGGCCTGGAGCTTGTAGTGTTGCTGTTGCCGCTGCGGCCTGTTGCCGTGGTATCGCTGCGGCTGCTGCTGGCCCTGCTGCGCAATGGGTGACCGCGGCGCATCTTGGCCCGGCATCTGTGGTTGCTGCAGATGATCGCCGTTCTCTGGCGCCGTGCCGGGCCGGCTTTGCGCATCTTGGTCGCCCATGTAGCCGTACTGCTCACCACCTTCGTGGTACGGGGAAGCCTGCGGAGGCAGCGGGGATGAGGGGATGTCGTTGGTCGGCGGCTGGCCAAACGACGTTCGGTTGGCCTGGGGCGACGATGCCCATGGGTCGCGGCCGCCGGGGTGGTCCGGGTCGTGGGCGCTGTAGTCCATGGTGTGTGGTGGGGAATTGGAGCTCTGGACAGCTGCACCGAGCTGTCGAGTGATGCGATGATGTCGCTCGAATGCCCTGACCTGCCCTGGAATTAGCCGAGCTAGGCAAGGCGCGAACGTCGACATCCTTCACATCACGTGCGACTGCCAAACAGTCAAACGCTGTCAATTCGCTCATCTATCGCACTGAGCAGTACTGGGCATGAGGGTCGGATGGGTTACGTCTACCCGTCGAGTCTTGCGACACCATGTGAAGACTCCACGGCGCTTGCTGTCGACGCAACCACACCATGATCTGCTTTCCAAGGCCACCCGCAACATTGGCATCATTGCCCACATCGATGCCGTAAGTGCTGTCTTTGATTAGTTGAGCCTGGTCTGACAACTTCCTAGGGGAAAACGACGACGACTGAGCGTATGCTCTACTACAGCGGAGTGACAAGGCGAATAGGAAGTACGTACCCGTTGTAACACTTTAAACGCTATGCTTTCTTTTCGTTTTCAATTGCTTTTAGTTCAGAGACATGCACTATCCCTTATCTGTCTCCATTCCAATTCCTTTTCTAGACGTTTTGGAATTCTGACCAAGTGCTTCACCTGTGTCGACCACTCCCTCATTCAAGCCTGGCCAATACCATTTGAGTCGATCAAACGGAGAGTTCAGGAACCAGACATATTCTGTATCTAACATTTTGTAGACGTCGACGAAGGCTCGACAGTAACCGACTTCCTCCCTGCTGAACGAGCACGCGGCATCACCATTCAATCCGCGGCCATCACATTCCACTGGCCTCCTCTACCACCAAGTACTCAGACTCCGCCACCGCCACCACAGCTACCAGCCTCATTCGACAATGTTCTAAGATCTTCAACATCCCACAACATCAATCTCATCGACACGCCCGGTCACGCAGACTTTACTTTCGAAGTGCTGCGCTCGCTTCGTGTACTAGATGGGGCAGTATGTATTCTCGATGGAGTTGCCGGTGTTGAAGCCCAGACGGAGAAAGTATGGACGCAAGCTGGACATTACCATATCCCTAGGATCATTTTTGTCAACAAGCTGGACCGTGTGGGCGCTGCGTTCTCACGAACCGTCAAAGAGATAGGCGTTAGATTGCACGGATGGCCAGCCGTCTGTCAAATTCCGTGGTGGAAGAATGGCAACGGCGATTTCGTTGGAGTTGGTGATGCTATCAACTTACGCGGTATGCTCTGGCAAGCCGGTGGCGATGGCAGAAACATTCACGCTTTTGGGCTGCAAGATCTGAGTAAAACCGACGAGAAGTTTGCAGAAGAGATCAAGAAGGCGAGGATAGCCCTCGTTGAAATCTTGAGTGAGCATGACGACGTCATGGTCGAGCACTTCTTGGAACACGACGAAGACCACCTTGCTATCTCTGGACTCCAGATCATGCAATCATTACGCCGAGTCGTACTGCAGGCACCACAGAAAGTTATACCAGTCTTCGCTGGCGCCTCTTTCCGCAACATCGGCGTTCAACCGCTGCTTGACTCGGTCGTTGATCTCCTCCCCTCACCACTTGAACGACCAGATCCTGAGATCAGCATCTCCAACCAAAGCAGCACACTATCAACCCTTCTCAGTGCCGCAGCAGCAGCACCAACGAAGACCACCAAGCCATCGAAGAAACAGCAGCAAAACAACAGCGAACTAGCCATCGCAGAAGTCAAAAACCTCAGCGCCTGCGCCCTCGCCTTCAAAGTCGTCAACGACGCCAAACGCGGCGTCCTCGTCTACGTCCGCGTCTACTCCGGCTCCATCGACCGCGGCGCCACCCTCTACAACACCAACCTGTCCCTCGCGGAGCGCGCACCTCGCCTGCTCAAAATGTACGCCAACGACGCTGTAGAAGTCGACAGCATCTCCGCCGGCCAAATCGGCGTGATAACCGGTCTCAAGCACGCAAGAACCGGAGACACGTTGATCGTCTACCGCGGCCTCCAAATGAAAGGCACACCCCCAGGTGGTCTTCACACGCTGCAACTCCGCCCCATCGCCGTCCCTCCCCCCGTCTTCTTTACCAGCATCGAACCGAACAGTCTCAGCGAACAGAAACACGTCCAAGAAAGTCTGGCTATCCTCCTCCGCGAAGACCCCAGCCTGCACCTTTCCATCGACGAGGAATCCGGGCAGACTCATTTGGCCGGCATGGGCGATTTACATTTAGAAATCGCACGAGACAGACTACTCAACGATTTCAAAGCCAAAGCACGCATCGGAAAGATAGAAATCGGATACAGGGAGACTATCACCACGATGACGCCAACGGAGCCATACACATACACGCTGGATAAACTCGTCGCGGGGAAACAGACAAGAGCAGCTATAACCGCTTCTGTGGAAAGCGTAGAAGACAGCAACATAATCCCGCTTTCCCCAATCCAAAACCAAGTCGACGAACGACACTTGCGCGAAAACCCATTCGAAACTACATACCCCCTCCCGGACAACAACCACCTGCACATCCACCACCCCCCGCTCTCTTCCCTCGACTCTTCGGCTCATAAACAGCACATCCCCCCTCACCTCTCCCTCCCCGGTATCCTGCACGCCCTGCAAGCCGGTACATCCGCGGCCCTCGCCCGCGGCCCTTTCAACGGCTTTCCCGTTGCAAATACACGGGTTAGTCTCACACTGGATGCGAGTGCGCACCTCTTCCCCGAGACAACGTCCACGGCGATATCGATGGCGGCGCGCGCGGCTGTTGGCGCGGGGTTGAGGCACGCGAGTGGGGCGCAGCCGGCTACGCTTATGGAACCGGTTATGAATGTGACGATTTTTGTCAACGAAGGTAGTATGGGCGCTGTAGTACAAGACATTACGTCCTCACGCGGTGGACAAATTCTGTCACTCGACGGCTCGGAGTCTTCATCATCTTCTGATGACGCCCTTCCCCGTATCGACCCACACCTGATCTACACGCCTCCCGACCCCTTTGCGTCGGGGACGGGTGATGTGGGGAGCGGCTTGAGCGACAGCCAAAGACAGATTGTAGCTAGAGTGCCGCTGAAGGAGATGGTGGGGTATTTGAATCAGTTGAGGGCGTTGACAGGCGGGAGAGGCACGTTTGTGATGAGTGTAGATGGGTTTGAGAAGATGGGAAGCCAGAGGCAGAAGGATGTCTTGGATGCGTTGAAGGAGTTTTAGAGAGTTAGAGGGAGTGAAGAGAGATGGAGTGTAAGGGGAGTGTATGAGTAGATAATGTAGTATAGAAAGTTGTGTATGTGTATTCCCAACCATCTCAATGCTATGCGCGCAATATGCTATCTATCTATCTCAATAATTGTAAACGTCGTTCCTCCCATATGCAGTTTATCTACGCCGTAAGCGCACTACTCAACCCCAAAATTCCCATCCCCGCAAACGCACTAACAAAGCACAAGCGCCTCGAATTCGTCAAATCCAGACTCTCGCCCAACAGCTGCAAGCTCACCATCGCCATAATACCCGCAGTGACGGCAAACATGCAACCGTAGATCGTGTCCATGCCCTCATCAGCGCCGTGCTCTCGACCTCTACCCTGAATCTTAAACCACAGCGCTGCGACACCGGCACCAAGGGGCTGACTGACACCACCCAGGACGGCAGAGATGAGCATGGCTTTCCAGCGGGAGCCGATGGCGAGGTAGAGGGGGAGGGCGAGAGCGAAGCCTTCGGTGATGTTGTGGATGAAGAGGGCGAGGAAGATGGAGAAGCCGAGGGTGGGGTTAGCGTGGTTGGTGGCGTAGGTGATGAAGCCTTCGGGGATTTTGTGCAGGGCGATTGCTGTGCTTGTTTGGAGGCCGAGGGAGAGGAAGGCGTTTGTTGGGACGTGGTGGTGGTGTTGTTGGGCCTCCTGGTCGTGTTCGTCGTGGCTGTGGCCGTGATGGTGGTGGTGGTGGTCAGTGTGCGATGAGGTAGTCGAGGATGAGCGGCTGTGCTTTTGGAGGGGTTGGATCTCGTGTGCTGCGTGGCCATTGGTAGACGGTAAACTTGCAAAAGAGCTTTCCATGGTGGCTGGTCCGGACTTTGTAGGTACCAAGGGTGTTGATTCGTTCACATCCTCCAACGCTGTTCGCCGATCATGCGGTCCCTGCGAAGTTTGGCTTCTGCTCATCCCAGATGGTCGTGTAACACTCAAACTGCCTAGAGACTTCCGTGACTGCAAGCGTGAAGGCCGTACTTCACACAGATCACCGTAACATTGCCCGTTGTCAGTGTCGTCACAAGCTTTTTCGGCACCGACAATTAGTTGTGAGACTTTGGATGACAGTGTCTTGTGAAGCGATGGTCTCTGAGGTAGGGCAGCTTTCGAGTTCACGCTACTAGTTCCGTATGAGGTATGCTCGTCATGTCCGTGGGCGTGCGGCAGACTGAGAGGCTGTTCCTGCATCGGTTGGTGAGTGTGCGACTCCTCTTCTTGGAATTTCCCCTGCTCTTCGTCATCGTGTTTGCTTTCGCAGTCGACGACTGAGTGCGGAATGTACTGGTGCAGTATTCCGGAAAGGACTGAGATGCCAAGAGCACCAACAAGGAAGCAGCCGATTAATGTCAGTATCGCGTTCCGTGGTGACATGCCTCCCTTTTTCAGATAGTTCTTCGCCGAGGGAAGCATGCTGTATAGTGATGAGAAGATCTTAAATCTAGGTCAGCAAGAGTCAAACGAAGCTCAGCAGCTCCACTTACCATAACACCAAAAGAAAGACTCAACCCCGTCGACAAGAACGCATTACTCTCTTCAATCTTAAAGTTCCTCTTGCCAGGAAAATATCGCACAATAAGGTCGACGCATATTATCGAAGCTAGCCACCTTTAGCATCTTCCCTGACTGAAATTCTCAGAATCCCGGTCGATGGGATCAACCGCGGGAATAAATCTCACCTCCAAATGTACATGCTGTTTACGCGTTAGCTCATCTGCTTCCCCGTGAAATCCATGCAGCTTCCCGCGCGCAATCGTCAATCCATACCTATGCCGCTGACCGCAGTCATGATCCACCCACGCGTATCGTTATCGAGAACCATGGTGCCTGCCTGCAGGTACACACTTTGGGGAAATGACGTCGTTATGCCAAGCTCCTTTGTCGCTTTCACGGGTAGGGGATAGTACGCGGAAATGCAAAGGCGATCAGATTGTTCTAGAGAGCGGGCGGCAGGCGGATAAGAGATGATGAAGTTTGTATGTACAAGAGGGTCCTGGTCAGATGAGGCGTCTTCTTCGCACCGTGTTGGCCTCCTAGCGCGTCGAGGACAGTCAAGGAAAAATCGGGTTTAGCGGCTTGGCGATCGTGTGATACTCGCGCGTGTTCATTGGCTGGAGCGAACGAGGCCGGGGTATCGCGTTTCGCCTCACGTTGGATGACAGCTACAAACGGACGTACAGAGGGAGTGTCAGTACTCGAAAGTACAATTTGAGGGTCTCAGAAGGACTCGCAAAGGACAAGAAGATGGTCCTGGATATATGGGAGAGAGTGCATGAGAGGCAGACACACTAGTGCCCAACAAGGAGGCGGTGTATGAGATCAGACACGTGAAGTATGACATCTGACATTGTGTGGCTGACAATCATGAGGCTACTGTGACTGTGACTTTGAAATTACGACTAGATGAGAGAAGAGAACAAGCCTCCACCTTGTCGATGAACACGAATTAAAGTGTTAGACCCAAAGTACTCCTAAGCATCCTTAACCAGCCCGCGCTGTGCGGTCAAGGACGTTGCTCCCTATCCGAAGCATGTTGGTGACCGTAAAGGTAAAATTCTAGAAAGCTCGGTGAGCTGCCAACGCCGTATTCCCCATGCATCCCGCTATGCATAACAAAGGAAAATTTTGAAGTACTAAATGAAGGCCGTGAGAAAAAAGTCGTCGTCGATGGTCGTGCCTCGAGCGATCAAAGCTGGGGAGGTCTCGGAACAAAGATCTTGCTCCACGCACCAGGGCCGTGTTCGGGCTTCTCGTTGATGACAAGTAGATTAGGCGATGAGCAATAACCGCCAGGCTCTGCTCTCCGCTCCTGCTCAACGTAATGGCCTGCACGATCGGCTTCGGTCGCGTTCTGTGCGAAAGCTGCAGCTGGGTGGTCGTAGATCCAGACCTTGTCCGTCACGAGCTGCCCTGGCTCTTCAGCGAAGCGGGCTTTCTTATCAGGGAAGCCCACGAAGTAGTTGAGGATGTCGTGAATCGGAGCGTACAGACGTTCCGGGCGACGAATGAAAGAGAGCCAGCTCAGCGTCTTCTCGTCGTAAGCCACTCGAACAAATGGGTTCATGTATATCCTAGATTCCGCTGGTCGGCCTCTTCCAGACATGCGATACTGTAGATCCGCGTGGATCAAACAGCACTCGGAAGCCTCCCAGAAAGTTTCGTTGTCATGACGGAAGCGGAGCGGGAAGATGCTGTGGTTAGGCGTCCCATTCTGCGGGTTGGCGGGTTCGGGCTGGACTCCGGTCTCTGACTGGAACCATTTGGCGTCAAAAGCCACCATGCCGCCCCAGCAACTCCGTACCCGTACCGCATCTTTCCCTGCGAGCACATCACTCCTGCTCGTCCCTGTCCCTGCGCTGGTGAACCACGGGAAGAAGGGCAGCCCGGTGATCATGCCGTCGAAATCGCGCGTCGCGAAGCGGTCGTAGAACTTGAAGGGCATGATGTGGTCGACAGCGCATGCTGCAGCGTAGTCTGCCCGTCCGGTCGAGTCGATGTTGGTCGCGAACAGGAGCTGCGCAGCTTCAACGGGGTCGAAGTTGACATCGTTCAGGTACAGGACCTTGTCGAATCTGACCCCAGGCTGGTCGATCGGAGCAAGGGCTCGGTTGCGCACCTCAGCAAGGAATGCAATGCGCTTGAGGCGTTTCTCACCGTTGGGTAGCGTAATGTGGGGGAGGGAAGCGAGGTCGAGATCTTCGGATACAATGGTCGAGTTGCCTGGGGTTGTTAGCGATCTTTGCACGACGGCACGAGGCGAAGCGTCTCACATTTGACATGGTCGCGGAACGAATCCAAGGACTGCTTCGTCACCAAATCTGGATTATCCTCATATATGCTCAGATGGACATTCTCTGGTCCCAGCAATTCCACCAGCTGCAGGACTTCTCTACCCCACGCGCCAGACGTCAGGTCGCCCTTCTTCTCGGCGAGCGAGGCGGCTATGAAGACCTTCTCGTTGTAGGGGTTCGCGCGCCCAGTGTCCGTGGCTCGCTTGCGTAGCTCGTCGTAGTGTGGAGGCCTGACTGTGTAACTCGGGAAGAAGATGCCGGCAACCAGCACTAGGACGATCAAGAGGTACGGTACGGAGAATAACGTCCAGTACAGGATGCGTAGAATGGAGCGCTTTCGGCGGCGCGGGGTGACGTAGTGGGCGTATACGGCGCGATCCGACAGCTTGTTGACTGCATTAAAGCGACTGCTCAGCCGGTTGAGCCAGGAGCGCCGTGTATTTGAACACTGTTCATCTTGACCGACAACAGCTTCCTCGCCATCAACATCGAGGGATTCGCGCGGAACCAGCTCATACTCGTGTATGGGCCGGCGGGAGGGTTTAAGCATCGGAGAGTCTTGGGGGTCGAAAGGGGCCTAGTTAACTCAGGTCCGCGGGCGCCATCAAGCGATGATCGGGCGCAGGGCTGCAGTGGAGGCGTTTTGTAGCGTTGACTACAACCACAGCGGGAGTGAGTGTTTGTATATCGGAATGGGAAGCGGCGGGAAGTAGTGAGTGACAGCAGTTGGCACAACGCAGCGAGGTTCCGCTTCTTGGGGACGCGCAATTCACACGGACTCGCGACTGTTTGGTTGGGGTCACCCATCGCACAGGGTCCAGCTCCCTGACGACAGCCCTGGAGTGGAGCTTGCCTTTTCCAGCCGCCAGCACCAACTCTAATCACGACTCAGGCCTGGATAGCCGTTTCGAGCGCCCGACCCTCGCTGGTCGGACCAGAGGCTAACCCTCCGCGCTGCGAACTGCCCCCATCACAGTCGCACCACGCCCCCAGAGCAGAGCATGTCGCGAGCCCTCTCACTTGCAACCCTCCTCGGCCACCGAGACTGCTGCATCATCATCAACATCATCAACAAACCTTAGCCCGTCCTGGCGGCTGGGCCTTCTCTCGGTGATTAGTACCGTCATCAGAATCTGCACATGGGTGGCTTGGCCAGATGCTCGGCCTCTTGGTCTTCGGTCATTTGGACGTCGATGCCACAAGCGAAGATTTATCTCCCGGAATCGCGCGGAGCTTTCCGTCGTACGACGCTTGTAGCAGGCGCGTACCTGGCAGCGTATCGATATACAAACGCGTGTATACATTTGCACTGCCTTACACTACTCCACAGACCTCAAACAACTGGCGCATGCCGTTGCGCAGACGCGTTATGCCTCACAACCCATACTACGGTGATTGCTAAAGCTTACACAGCATACTCGTCACATCGCTTGATGCCCGTGTCTTACGACGTACGTGATGATATCTGCTCCAACTATTGGTCGTCCCCTCATGCAGAAGACCATCTGCCACGCTAGCGATGCAGCAACCCTGGCTTTGATCCTCCACGCTCGCAACACTATCCCCAGTCCCATCCCACCACTACTCACCTTTGTCCAGACTCGACACGGCTGACCTAGGCGAGCTGAGTGGACTTCGTAATTGCGAGATAGGAGACAGTGGCGCAGACCCAGTACTAGCCTTCGGACGACCAACACTGCCGGAAGCCGACGGTATCTTTGGTGCGTTCAGCTGCCCCTCGGATGATGGAGTACATGGTTCCTCAACTACCGGCACCGGCATGGGGGAGTAGCGGGGCACGTCTTGTGTTGTTGGCGAACGCTCCTGAGGTGGTTTCTGCTCGGACGGTCGATCGTTCCATCCGCCGAGCTTCGGTTCTTCGTCACGGGCGCTAGCAACGACCCGTTCCCTTTCTTTCCTCGGACCTGTGTCGTCGTTTAGCTTCGTATTGGTCTCTTTCGTTTCACATCTTTCTCGTCGCGGCTCGTCCTGCCTTCGTCCCTCGTTCCTCGGGCTCGTCGTCCGCTGTCTCCACCGCTCGTACGTCCGAGACCGAGGTACGCTAGAGCCTATTACAATAATTGTCAGCATACACTCCGTGGAACAAACGAGACTTCAATCTACAAACGAGCAGCGGGATCAGGGTAGCATTACTCGGTGCGGGTCGCGTTCTGCTCGTGTGCAAACCCCATGGCCTCGCTCTATATCCGCT